TTGATTGAAGCTTTTAAGCAAGATCAAGATTTTTTTGAAGTGTGTCTTCCTTTTGAATCTGTTTATTATTTGATTGATATCACTGATGTGATTGAGGGGGAGTGAGTAGGAACTCAGGTCTAGAGTTAGATTGAAATTGCATTGGGTAGGTATTAAGTGAAGAGTGCAAACAGGTTGTTTAGCTCTAAATTAACACTGCTTATAGTGGATTTTATCCCTGGCTCGGTAGCCCCTAGAGTAGGTGTGATTTTCACCGAATTGGGTAAACAATTTTATGTGTTCTTTACTGCTTTCGTTACTTGTTTATTGCTAAGTTTAATAATCTGTTCAGAAGCAGATGTCATAACATCCGATATAACATCGCCTGTCTGTTACTAGAATTCCATCATGTTATATGGAGACGAGCTAGGTGGGAATCCATGATGGGTGCCTAGCCTTGTCTGGAATCTATGTGGGAGTCGTGTGGAGATAAGTTGTAGTTTAGAGGAATGTATACGACTTATCTGAATTCTAACGGGAATCGGGTTCTAGGTTGAACCGTATATGATTGTGTTGGTATCGAATGCATTGTGTCGTGTCACTGAGTCGTATTGCATTACATATACATAATTGAATGCAGGTTGTTTATGTCGAATGATGCGGTGGCACTTGTATGTGCGTGATAATTGTGTGATTGGTGTGTTAACTACTCTTAGCATGTGTTTTTCACCGTGTATTTATTGAATGTAGTTCTCACCCCTTTTTCTGTTTGTTATGTTTGTGCTCCTTGAGGAGTACAGATGATCAGGTACCTGAGTAGTGCTTGGAGCTTTGTGTTGCGATTTGATTGAGTCTTAGGAGTCGCTCTGATACGTAACACGGGAAAGATGGGGATTTCATTATGTTTTCCTGTTATTTAACTTTGTATTTGTTACGTATCTGGTTTTGATTCAATTGTTGTGGAATCACATATTATGTGGGAAGTTGATGTATTTGGTGTTTACAAGTTAAACCGTTTGATATAACTCTGTTGATTATTCATACTACTTATTTTTATAAAATAAATAAAATGCAAAGCACATTGATACTTCACTTTGACGTGGTTTTTGGATATGTGACATTCTACGTGTATTAACTCTGATTTATTTCTGCACTTATTATCATATTTTCAATTATTATACCAATGGGTAGAGTAGGGTGTTACAGAGGATGCAATCACAATGTTGACCGCTACTACCACTCATGAGGAAGTTACCAATGCTCTTTGTTGTATGCATCCTTATAACTCTCCGAGTCCAGATTGTTTTCAAGGAGTGTTCTTTAAACAATATTGGCATGTTCTCAACAGCGATGTCAATAGTTTGATTCATGACGCTTTTGCCACAGGAACTTTTAACCCAACCATTGTTGAGACTCTTATAGCTCTAATTCCAAAAATGGGCAGCCCTACTCACTTTAGAGAGTTCAGGCCAATTAGTCTCTGTAATACGATGTACAAACTTATCACGAAGGTGCTAGTCAACTGATTGTGACCTTTCTTGGATAAAATTGTGGGACCTTGTCAAAGTAGTTTCCTTCCTTGTAAGGGAACAAATGATAATGCAATTATTCTTCAAGAATTTATCCATAATATGCGCACATCAAAGAGGAAAAAAGGTGACGTGACATATAAAATTAATCTTGAAAAAGCTCATGATCACATTAGTTGAGACTTTTTAAGGCAATGCTTGATTGATTTCAGATTCCCTACTAATACTATAAAATTGATTATGCACAGTATGACCACCTCTTCTTTATCTTTGATTTAGATGGGAAGTATTTGCCAACTTTCACCCCATCTAGGGGATTTCGGCAAGGGGATCCTCTATCTTCATACCTTTTTGTGATTTGCATGGAGAAATTATCCCATGATATTAACCAGGCAGTTGGTAACAATAGTTAGAAGCATATCAAGAATTTTCAAAATGGCCCATCTCTTTCTCCTTTATTCTTTGCTAATGATGTGTTGTTGTTTTCAAAGGCCATAGCCTCCCAAGTCATGTTAGTAGCCGACATCTTTACCAATTTCGCTAATGGTTCGGGCCTTAAGAGCACCTCCAATGGTGCAACCCATTTTTAGGTTCTTTGTGGGACCCACTCTTCTAAAACAACTCATTCAATTTTCACTTCAATGGTACAACTTTAAAGAACCCATATTGGGTCCCACTAGTTTACTTAAATATATTATTTATATTAAATTTATTTTATTTAAAATTATAATTTAAATATTTAAATTTAAATTACTATAAATATAAATTAAACATAAAATTAAAATTAAACATAAAATTGAAAATAATAATTTATGAATAAAATGATGAAATTGTGAGAGAGAAATTTAAAATTAAAGAGTAAATAAAAGTGAGAGAAAATAGGATTGTTATAAATTTTTGCAACAAACTTATATTTATAATAAATAAAAAAAGTTAAAAAAAATAAAATAAAACCAACAAGTTAAATAATTATTTTAATAATAAAAAAAATGAAGAACCATTGCTTATGCAAGCAACGTTCACCAGCTGGAACAACTTTTTATTGACAATTTCAATGCCAAGTTGGCAAATCAATTTGAAGAACCACCGTTGGAGATGGTCTAATGTGAATCTGGTGAAGTCCCGTGCTTTATTCTCTTCGACCAATAGGAGAACAAAGATTAATAAAATTGTCTCCATTACGGGGATCTGTAGTACATCCTCTATTGGAAAATACCTTGATTTCCCCATGATTCAGGGAGGGTGAAGCAAAGTGATTTTGACTTTATTTTGGAGAAAATGCATAATAGGTTGGCTTCTTGGAAAAATAAACTTTAAAGTAAAGTTGGGAGGCTTACTCTTGCAAAGTCTGTCATGAACTATATTCCAAATTATTACATGAAGATAGCTTGGTTGCCTCAATCCACTAGTTCTGATATTGATCGCCTAACGAGAAAATTTATATGGAAGGGTTGTAGTGACAAAGGCATTCACTTTGTGGGTTGTGATGTAATTACGAGTCCAAAGAATATAGGTGGTCTTGGGGTTCGACTTGCTCGTGAAGCAAATACTTCTATGCTAGATAAGTTGGTTTGGCAACTGCATGCAAATTCCAGAAAACTCTAGGTGGATATGATCAGAAACAAATATTCGGGTACCACTCCTTTCATGAATGTAAAGCAGAAACAAGGCTCTTTCTCTTGGAACTCTATCCAAAAAGCTAAGCCCTCTATGATGGCTACGTGTTTCAGCTAGGTAATGGTAATTCTTTCTTATGGTTCATAAATTGGACTGGCCTTGGAACCCTCAATAAACTTATTCCATACATTGATATTCATGATGTTCATCTTTGCATAAGAGATGTTATTCAGAATGGGGCCTAACAAATGAGTTTGTTGTACAAGATTCTTCCGCCCCACGTGATTGGCCAAATCCTCACTCTTCCCTTAATTACTAATGATGACATCTCTGATAGTCTTGTTTGGAAAGGGCATACAAATGAAATCTATATAGCAAATCAAGGATACAAGTGGCTTCTACATCGGAGAAATGGGCTTGGTAGTGGTGTCATTACCTTAGATTGTAATTGGATTTGGAAATCCTATGCACCAGAGAAAATTAATTTTTTTTACATGGACGACGTGTCACAATTCTCTTCCTACTCTTGCTCTGCTTCATAGAAGAGGTACGTTTGCATCCTCAACGTGTCCTCGGTGTCAACATCCGATGGAAGATATTTTCCACAGTCTGCATGATTGCAACCTTTTGGCCAAGCTTTGGCATTATCTTGGTGTGCACGATACAAATTTCTTCACAGAGTCTAATGTCTACACGTGGCTCCGACATGGTTTCACCTAGAAGGATCCTTCCTTGTTTATTTCGGCAGTTTGGTAGTTGTGGAGGGCACGCAACACCATAATCATTACTAATGAAGACTTCACTTTCTCTACCTTGCAATACAGGACTCAAAAATATGTTGCATTACTTAAGATTTGCAAACATGTTGTTGTGAGTAATATCAACGTCCCCCGCGGGGTCTCTTGGCATCCAAGTAGGATGGATTGTATCGTCTTAAATACTGATGGTAGTAGCTTGGGAAACCCCTGTCCTTCTGAATTTGGGGGGCTTCTTCGTAGATCAGATGGCTCTTGGATCAAAAGTTTCACATGTTATATTAGAATTACAAACAACTTGCATGATGAGCTTATGACTCTTCTGAAAGGTCTTCAAATCGCTTGGGAGGATGGCCACCGAAACTTAGTTTGCTATTCAGACTCTCTAAATGCTATCCAACTTTTTAATACTTCTCTCAACCAGTAGCATGCCTACGCGTCTATCATAGCTTTGATTCAGAAATTGATGAAGCGGCCTTGACAATTTTCTTTGATTCACACTCTTCAGAAAGAAAACATGTGTGCTGATATATTGACAAAGATGGGATTTTCAATGGTTCAACCGTTGATTCTGATAAAACACTCTTCTTCTAACCTTCTTCTCTTACGGTCAAATATTAGATAGAAAGAGATATTTTGTCCTTAATCTTCTTTTGTTTTGTTTAATTACCATTCCATTACCAAAAACAAAAACAAAAAAAGCAAAAATATTTGATGAAATATTGTTATTAGTTATCACCCAGAAAGTACTGTAGAAGGAATCCTTGATCTCATGGAGGCACGACCCATCTACATCGCTATCAATGGCACGCTATTTCCCATGTTTCATTATAGATTCCCAAAATATCATCGAAAAGATTATGCTGTTAAGTTTTCATCGAAAATAATATCAACATTATAGTAGTTGGTACTATAACTAAATTTTACCCACAATATTAATAGCTGTTAGGTTTGTGTGGATGATCTAATAATAACAGAAAACATCACTACACACACAACACAACACACATGTTTCTATTTTTTTTTATTAAAAAACAAAAAACAAAAGACCACACAACACTCAACATCAGTTTTTGTTTCAGAACACAAGAATCATTCCGAAAACCTAAAAACCAAACCAATGGATTTGAATTTCTCTCCTTCGATCAACAACAACACAATCCCCGTGAATGGAACAATCCCTGTTTCTTCCACCTTCGCCACAGCCACCACCCCTTTCGAAAACCCTCCCCCGTCCAACGACTCCGGTGACCGGAAACACATAGCTTTATGGCCGGGGATGTACCATTCTCCGGTCACCACTGCTCTTTGGGAAGCAAGGACCAAAACCTTCGAGAGACTTCTTGACCCACCAAGAGATGCTCCTCCACAAAGTGAATTGGTTACCAGAACACCCTCACAGAGTAGGACCAGTATTCTGTACAATTTTTCCTCTGATTTTGTTCTTAGAGAACAGTATAGAGATCCTTGGAATGATGTCAGAATTGGCAAGTTGCTTGAAGATCTTGATGCCTTGGCTGGAACCATTTCTGTTAAGGTGCTTACATTTTTTGAATTTTTTTCAGGTTTTTCTAGGAGTTTGTTATATGAGTATTGTTGTTATAGGTTTTTGTTAAGTTGTTTTCTCTGTGTTGTGGAACAGCATTGTTCTGATGAAGATAGTACAACAAGGCCACTTATACTTGTGACTGCTTCGGTTGATAAGATTGTACTAAAGAAACCAATTAGTGTCAACATTGATCTTACAATTGTTGGTTCTGTTATATGGGTTGGACGCTCCTCGATAGAAATTCAACTCGAGGTTACTCAATCAAAACAAGGTACATTTCTTGCGGCTCGGTCTCACACATAACTTACATTGTGTAATTGATATGTACAAACTTAAAACTAGTTTAGTTTCTCAATCTCTCTGCGTGTGTTTGGTTCTGCGGTGAATAAAATTGATTTTCAGTAAATTGATTATGTAAAATTGATTCAGACTAAAAGTGAGTTGAATGTAAAGTGATTTATATTTGAATAAGTCTAAAATATTAAACCACACTTGTAGAGGACGGTGATTCAGACGCGGTAGTACTAACAGCAAACTTCATATTCGTTGCTCGAGACTCAAAAACTGGGAAGGCTGCACCTGTGAATCGGCTTTCACCAGAAACTGCTCGCGAGAAACTTCTTTTTGAACAAGCTGAAGCAAGAAACAGTTTGAAAAAAAGGAAAAGAGGAGGAGAAAAGAAAGATCATGAGAGTGGGGAAGAAAAAAAACTTAAAGATCTATTGGCTGAGGGAAGAATTTTCTGTGACATGCCAGCTTTAGCCGACCGAGACAGCATTCTTCTAAGGGATACCAGCCTTGAGAATTCCTTAATATGCCAGCCACAGCAGAGGAACATCCATGGTAGAATATTCGGAGGTTTCTTGATGAATCGTGCGTTTGAATTGGCTTTCTCAACAGCTTATGCCTTTGCTGGATTAGTTCCGTACTTTCTAGAAGTTGATCATGTTGATTTCCTCAGACCTGTGAGTATTTTTCTTCATTCATACGAAAACAATTCTGTATTAATAAGCACAACTTGCACAATTTTTTTAAATTAACCATTGCGCAGGTTGACGTGGGCGATTTCTTGCGTCTCAAATCCTGCGTTCTGTACACTGAACGTCACGATCCTGATCAGCCACTTATCAATGTTGAAGTTGTTGCTCACGTTACAAGACCCGAGCTACGATCTAGCGAGGTTAGTCTAACTGATCTTTCATTAGTTTAACAGCTGTAATTGGTTCAAAAACTTTTCTCATTATCTGTTATTCTTGTGCATCATGTGAACACAGGTATCAAACACTTTCCATTTCAGTTTCACCGTCCGTCCAGAGGCAAAGGCTATGAAAAATGGATTCAAACTTCGAAATGTAGTACCGGCAACAGAAGAAGAAGCGCGCCGGATATTAGAGCGTATAGACGCCGACAACTTGAATGAATTCTTCAGAACATAAAAAACTCAACAGCAATTAACTAGTTAAAATGTGCACCACTAGTTATATATTAGCAGAATCTAAAACAATCTGATGTAATGTAATAATTCTGCTGTCAAGTTATTGAAGGCACAAGTTTGCCTTGTATAACTACTAGCATTATAGGGATTTGAATTTTATAGAACACTATTCTGCTTAGGCAAATTATATATGAATATGATTTTAGTGTTTACTCATGTTTTCAAGCAGCTTTGTGACCCTAAGAACTGAGTATTTGTAAGTAGGAAAGTTAAGCTTAAAATATTAAATGAATGGGAGGAAAATCAATCAATTTTGTTCTAAAGATAATATCAACGGTGGATATAGTGGATGTCACATTTATTAGGTTAATATCAATATATCAAGTAATACAAACAAAAGTGTTTTTGGATAAAGTAGTTCAAGTCTTAATCAGATCGTTATTTACAATTCAGTTCACTTCGTTATTTTGGTCTATTTAGTCCACTAGATGACACTATGCAACTGAAAAATTCTTGATCAATTTAGATGAATAAATTATTTTAAGTATGCAATTAAAAAAAAGTGTGGTAAATAGTTTATTTTTACCATAGGAATTGTTTGAGAATTTAACTTACCACCCCATTTATATCTGACATTTCTATAGTTTTAAATTTTTAAAATTGTCCCTGATAAAAATTTGAATCAAAGTCTATATTGATGAAGGAGAGTTATAGCAATGATGGTCATGTAACGTCAGAAGACCAAGAGACTTTTCTTAATGGCATATTTTAATGGAAGACTATAAAAAGAGACTCTCACATGAGGGTTAAGCAAGACACAATCATCTTGAGACAATACACAACACAAGTGTAGTTCTCAAATCCCCAAATATCCCTCGCGATATATACTGTGTAGTTCTTCTTGTCCAGGACAAGGAGAATTAGCACTTTTGGTGTATCTAAGCATTTTTGGCTAGAACAAATATAAATATTAATTGAAATATTCATTTACATGTGTTCAAATGAAATATGTTTTTAAGTAGGCTAACAGGTTAGTCAAGTCTTTAAAAAGCTCAAGCTCAAGCCTAAAAATAAGCTTATGATGGATTACATGTTAGGCTTAGGCTTTGATATTTTTAGCATGTCGGGGTTAGACTTGGTAAAGCCTAACTTGGCTCAGCCTATAATCACCCCAAATCACAACTCTAAACACTATTAAAATACCCAACTCTTTATTTGAGGCATTGCGTAACAAAAAAATAGAAAAAAAGTTATGGACTTATGGAGGCACTAAACAAGAATAATACTTGAGAATTGATTTCTCTACCAAATAGAAAGAAATTTGCAGGGTGCAGATGGGTATACACTATAAAATATAAGGCTTATGGATTTATTGAGAAGTATAAAATAAGATTGGTTGCCAAAGGCTTTACCCAAATCTGTGGAATAGATTCCTCACAGACATTTGCTTCAGTTGCTAAAATGAGTACCATAGAGTGATATTATCTTTAGAAGCTAATTACAGTTGAAATTTACATCAATTTAATGTGAAAAATGTCTTCCTTCATGGAGAACTTGAAGAATATGTGTAAATAAATGTACATTTTGAATATCGTTAACTTACTACCACCAACATAGTGTGCAAATTAATATATGTGTGTGTGTGTGTGTATGCGCGCGCGTGCGTGCGTGCGTGTGTGTGTGTGATTATCAAACATTCTGAGTCAAAGGGAGTAACAATGTTATTTGTGTATATCTATGACATTATAATAACAGATGATGATGAGACGAAACAACATCTATTAGACGAACATTTAGCCAAGTCATTTTATATTAAGACCTTGGGAAAATTGAAGTAATTTATGGGAATTAAATTTGTCCACTCTAAGAAAGAAATCTTTATATCTCAACAAAAATACATTATTGATCTTTTGCAAGATACAGGTAGGACAATATGCAAGTCTGCAAGTACACTAATTGATTCAAGTGTAAAGTTTGGAAACATGGTAGAAAACATTTCGCTTGATACGAAAATGCATCAAATATTAGTTAAAAACCTTATATACACATCACATACTAGATCTGATGTTACTTTTGTTGTAAGCTTATTCACCTAAATCATGCACCAACCAAAGGAGGATCATTTACAAGTTTTGCTTTGAATTGTGCAATATCTAAAAGGAACTTAGGTAGAAGAATTTTGTTTAAACAAAATGATATTGTGTGTCTTGAAGCATATACTAATGTTGATTATGCTAGGTCAATTTTGGTCTGAAGATCAACTATAAGATATTATACATTTTTTTATGAAAATCTTGTTACTTGGAAGATGTTTTGGACCGAGAGGAGGCCCGGTAGACCAAGTTCCAATTCATTTGACACTCTACTCAACTCAAAGTATAAAAACAATTCATCTGTTAAAAGTAAGGTACAATCTTTCATCTCTAATTTTTACTATACTCATATTGAATCTTGAACTAACATAGGTGTTGGATTGTTAACCATGCAAATCCACCTCGTGTCATTGTAAAGGCGTACAAAGAGTCTATGTTTTGTGAGAGATCGTATCTAAAATTTGATTTCGACCATAATAAGCTACTAAAAACTAGAAAGTGTGAACTGTGATTATATCTATTCCTTTTTGGTCATCAGTTCTTTTTTTTATTCATCGATTTACCCTATGTTTGCTTTTGTGTTTATAAGAATAAAATTTGTATGTTTGGAAGACTTTTCATTTTCCAACTTCCCGTTTATCAGGTTAAAATAGCCTCAAGATTTGATTTTAAATGGACAAACGCTGATCCAAACAGATGCTCAATTAGGTTGGGTTGAATTCGATTTTTTCCCGTAAATTTCTTAATGCACCCTATATATTACTTTAGCACCACATGAAAATACTAAAATGCCCCAGATTTCGGAAATGCATCTCTGAACACACCCAATTTTGAATAAACGTTTAAATATTCTAGAGATTCATCTGAAGGTGGGAAAATACTTAGAAAGGGGGGTTGAATAAGTATATAGAAAAACTTATAGTAATAAAAACTCAAGGATTTTTATCCTGGTTCGTTGAACTCAACTACTCCAGTCCACCCTATCAAGAGTGATTTGCCTTTCTCAACAAGGACTTAATCCACTATTAAATCAACTGATTACAATAGCAAACACTAATATCAACTGTTCTTAGTCTTCTTAAGAACTACTGATCCCAACTGGATCTTCTTAAGGATCTTTTACAATCAAATGTAAGAATAATACAAGTGTTTAAATTGCTTCTAATTAAGCTATATCACAATTGTGATTTATCACTTAAGATTTAAGAACTATGAAATAAATTCAGCTAGAGATAATGATTTGTATGAGAGCTTGTAATGAATTTCTTTCAAAGATTTCGTCAACTGAAGAAGATGGATGGAGTCTTGCTTTTATAGGCACAAAGGTCCAAGAAGTCTTTCACGTTGAAGGTTGTGTACCAAAAAGGTCTGAGCCTTTTTGTCTTCACATCACATGACTTTTCCTAGAAGTAGAATGCACAGAAAAATCCTTTTTGTCTGTGTTCTTGTGTCTAGCATAAATGAGGAAAGAGTCGTTTGGCCATTCCAATGGACATAACTTTGAATTCTTCTTCAACAAGTTTCAGCAAAGTATCAGAGCTTTGACTGATCAGAGCCTTCTGATGTTCATCAGAATTTGTTGAATCAGAGTCTTTGCAGCAAGTGTGCTTTCAGCGTGTAATTGTTCAGAGCAGAGTTTGGGATCAGATCCTCAGTACTGGAAGCGTTAGTACTATCAGAGTCTTCTGAAATAACTGTGCTTGAAACTCTTCATACAGAATTCTTCAATGCTTCAGATGCTTCTGGCTTCTGCTTCAGATTCTTCTGTAGCTTCTGCTTCAGATCCTTCTGTAGACAGTGCTCAGAATCTTCTGTAGACAGCATTCAGATTCTTCTAAGAGATGCTTCAGAGCCTTGCATAATTTCATGTTCAGATCTATTTTGCTTCCAGAATAATATTCATTTTAATATCTGCAGCAAACAATCTTAAACAATTTTTAGAGTATATAATTCTTTAATAAAAAATTTCATAAGAGTTATCATCAAAATATAGAGATATTATTAAGAACCAATCTGTGTTCTAACAGCATCTTCAAAATTATTTCAGAAATGCATCTCCAGAAGGTATTGGAGCCTAAATCGCGCTAGAACCCTTCTCCTTCCTCATGTCTAAAAAACACAAAGTTTGCTCAAACTCTCTCAGTGTTTTCCATCAACCAACTCCCAAATCAAACAACTAAGTTTAAAGGTTCTATAATTAACATCAAGTGCATCAGAGACATCGTCAAAGGCATTAAGTAAACTCTAAATTTGTAAGTTTTTTGATGTTTTAAAAAGTTTTTGAGTTTGTGTAAATGATTCGAAGTTAATTATTAAGGTAAGAAATGAGTAGAAATTGCATAAATGATAGTTTAGACATAATGTTAAACATGTTTGTTGGCTGAAAATGATGATTAAACCATTATTTTTTAGTGTTTGCATGTATGCATTATCGCCATTGACGGACCTGAAGAGTTATAAAAAATAACGGAGATGCATCTCCGAAATTTTTCAACGTTTAAGTTTCCCAATAACCAGAGATGTATCTTTGGAAATCAGCAGTCTATTTTATGTTTTGCTTTTCTTACTAGTAGCATTTCTTGCTTGCACGAATTATCTAGTTTAATTTTACTTATAGGAATTATGGCTGATAGACATGATTGAGTGAGACACGGGAGGATTACACAACATGCATTAGTGCGGGAGAAAAGTCAGGTTTAGGAGACTCCTATTCACTCTAGCCATGCGGAGACATCTACTTATGGGGCTCATGCTTCTTCATCTTTTTCTTCCCATAGGAGGCGGGTTTCACCTAATGACGAATCACTTCTTTCATCCTCCCGTAGGCGCCAGGACTCACCTATTCAGGTGCCAGAGGTGCCTGAATCACTGATGATGCTTATGAGTCAGTGCCACCTCTGGCTGCTGA